CCATTTACAACAGCGGCACTCACCAACTACAACAGCGGTGACAACCATTTACAACAGCAGCACTTATCAACTACACCAGCGGTACCAACCATTTACAACAGCGGCACTCACTAACTACAAGAGCAGTAAAAACGATTTACAACAGCGGCACTCACCAACTACAACAGCGGTGCCCCACCAAGTATAATAGCAGCACCCACCAGCGACAAAAGTGGTACCAACCACTACAATAGCAGCACCCACCAACTACAACGGCAACACCCATCAACTACAACAGCAGCACATGCCAGCTACAACAGCAGTATCTCACTGACTACAACAGCTGCATCGTAAGACGGCATGTGGATACATCCTGATGTGAGATTGTATGTGGATACATCCTGATGTGAGATTGTATGTGGACACATCCTGATGTGAGATTGTATGTGGATACATCCTGATGTGAGATTGTATGTGGATACATCCTGATGTGAGATTGTATATGGATACATCCTGATGTGAGATTGTATGTGGATACATCCTGATGTGAGATTATATGTGGATACATCCTGATGTGAGATTGTATGTGGATACATCCTGATGTGAGATTGTATGTGGATACATCCTGATGTGAGATTGTATGTGGATACATCCTGATGTGAGATTGTATGTGGATACATCCTGATGTGAGATTGTATGTGGATACATCCTGATGTGAGATTGTATGTGGATACATCCTGATGTGAGATTGTATGTGGATACATCCTGATGTAAGATTGTATGTGGATACATCCTTATGTGAGACTGTATGTGGATACATCCTGATGTAAGACTGTATGTGGATATATCCTTATGTGAGATTGTATGTGGATACATCCTTATGTGAGATTGTATGTGGATACATCCTGATGTAAGACTGTATGTGGATACATCCTTATGTGAGACTTATGTGGATACATCCTGATGTAAGATTGTATGTGGATACATCCTGATGTAAGATTGTATGTGGATACATCTTTATGTGAGATTGTATGTGGATACATCCTGATGTAAGACTGTATGTGGATACATCCTTATGTGAGATTGTATGTGGATACATCCTGATGTAAGACTGTATGTGGATACATCCTGATGTGAGATTGTATGTGGATACATCCTGATGTGAGATTGTATGTGGATACATCCTGATGTGAGACTGTATGTGGATACATCCTTATGTGAGATTGTAAGTGGATACATCCTGATGTGAGATTGTATGTGGATATATCCTTATGTGAGACAGTATGTGGATACATCCTTATGTGAGACAATATGTGGATACATCCTTATGTGAGATTGTATGTGGATACATGGTGATGTAAGATTGTATGTGGATACATCCTGATGTGAGATTGTATGTGGATACATCCTTATGTGAGATTGTATGTGGATACATCCTTTTGTGAGATTGTATGTGGATACATCCTGATGTGAGACTGTATGTGGATACATCCTGATATGAGACGGTATGTGGTTACATCATGATGTTAGATTGTATGTGTGTACATCCTGATGTGAGATTGAATGAGGACACATCCTCATGTTAGATTGTATGTGGATACATCCTTATGTGAGATTGTATGTGGATACATCCTGATGTGAAATTGTATGTGGATACATCCTGATGTGAGATTGTATGTGGACACATACAGTTGTGAAATTGTACAGGGGTACATCCTGATATGTAAGAAATATTCCAAGGTGAATAATCCTGGAAAAACTATAAGAAATAGAGGGTTATCCCCCTTGCAACATTTACATTTGTAACATGTTAAATTTGAAATACAAATTCATTCCGCTTCTGTAGTACTGAGTCAGTAAAAATAATATAAACTGGACAATGTTACAGATTGCTGAGGTCAGGACAATGTTACAGATTGCTGAATCAAGGACAATGTTACCGATTGACGAATCCAGGACAATGTTACAGATTGACGAATCAAGGGCAATGTTACATATTGCTGAGGTCAGGACAATGTTACAGATTGACGAATCCAGGACAATGTTACCGATTGACGAATCCAGGACAATGTTACCGATTGACGAATCCAGGACAATGTTACCGATTGACGAATCCAGGACAATGTTACAGATTGACGAATCCAGGACAATGTTACCGATTGACGAATCCAGGACAATGTTACAGATTGACGAATCAAGGGCAATGTTACATATTGCTGAGGTCAGGACAATGTTACAGATTGACGAATCAAGGACAAAGTTACAGATTGCTGAATTAAGGACAATGTTACAGATTGACGAATCGAGGACAATGTTACAGATTTCTGAGGTCAAGGACAATGTTACAGTTTGACGAATCAAGGACAATGTTGCAGATTGCTGAGGTCAGGACAATGTAACAGATTGACGAATCAAGAACAATGTTGCAGATTGCTGAGTCAGAGACAATGTTACAGATTACCGAGTCGGGGACAATGTTAGAGATTGCGGAGTCAGGGACAATGTTACACATTGCCGAGTAAGGCATAATGTTACAGATTGCTAAGTCGAGGACAATGTTACAGATTGCCGAGTCAGGTACAATTCTGCAAATTGTTTAGTCAGGGACAATCTACGTGTCTGTGGGTCAGTGATGGTAGCTGTGGTATTATCTGTAGTTACGGCTGTGGTGGATGTTGATGAAGTGGTTGCTGTGGTGGTAGATGTGGTTGTAGCTGTGATGGGGGGATGCGGTGGTGGCTCTTATGGTTTCGGCGAAAGGTGTAGTGTTCGCTGTTGTTGTTGCAGTGGTGGGGCGATGGCTGTGTTGGTGTCTGTGGTGGCAGTGGTGATGTATGTGGTGGTGGTCAGGGCTGTGGTGGTAGTGGTGATGTATGTGGTGGTGGTTAGGGCTGTGGTGGTAGTGGTGATGTATGTGGTGGTGGTTAGGGCTGTGGTGGTAGTGGTGATGTATGTGGTGGTGGTCAGGGCTGTGGTGGTAGTGGTGATGTATGTAGTGGTGGTTAGGGCTGTGGTGGTAGTGGTGATGTATGTGGTGGTGGTTAGGGCTGTGGTGGTAGTGGTGATGTATGTGGTGGTGGTTAGGGCTGTGGTGGTAGTGGTGATGTATGTGGTGGTGGTTAGGGCTGTGGTGGTAGTGGTGATGTATGTGGTGGTGGTTAGGGCTGTGGTGGTAGTGGTGATGTATGTGGTGGTGGTTAGGGCTGTGGGTGGTAGTGGTGATGTATGTGGTGGTGGTCAGGGCTGTGGTGGTAGTGGTGATGTATGTAGTGGGGTTAGTTAGGGCTGTGGTGGTAGTGGTGATGTATGTGGTGGTGGTTAGGGCTGTGGTGGTAGTGGTGATGTATGTGGTGGTGGTTAGGGCTGTGGTGGTAGTGGTGATGTATGTGGTGGTGGTTAGGGCTGTGGTGGTAGTGGTGATGTATGTGGTGGTGGTCAGTGCTGTGGTGGCAGTGGTGATGTATGTGGTGGTGGTCAGGGCTGTGGTGGTAGTGGTGATGTATGTAGTGGTGGTTAGGGCTGTGGTGGTAGTGGTGATGTATGTGGTGGTGGTCAGTGCTGTGGTGGCAGTGGTGATGTATGTGGTGGTGGTCAGGGCTGTGGTGGTAGTGGTGATGTATGTAGTGGTGGTTAGGGCTGTGGTGGTGGTGGTGATATGTGTGGTGGTGGTGGCTGAGGCGTTGCGACGATGATGTAGATGAAGGATGCATGACGTCAGTGGACATACATGGTCACCGTGTGACAATCAATGTGGACTTACAATCGGCCATCCTCTCCTCGAGTATGGAGATCTGCTCGCTGAGCGAGGCCAGTCGGTCTAAGGGCATCTTGTGGTGATCTAGCTCGTACGGGTCCGTGGAGGGACTGGGTTCAGTGCTGGCGCCTGCAGTCTCTAGATCTCTCCTGGCAGCTTCGTACTGGCTAACTGCGGTCTTCAGGCTGCTCTTCAGCTCTGCCTGGGGAAGGTGGAAGGTTGTAGTTACACACTCTCTGTCTCGGTTCGTTTATACATCAAGTGTGAGGATTGCATTGCTATAGCCATCCTCCTTTTAATTTCTGTCGAACAGTCTCTTTTGTTGTTTATTACAGAGCCTAGATATTCAGAGTTTGTGACATTTTCAATTTCTTCATCATTTATGGTTTTTCTTTTTTAATGAGGGGGAAAAGGGGGGGGGGGGGGGTGACAGCCAATTTTATCTGTGGACATTATTTTCGTTTTCTTTAAATTATATACCCAATGTCATTTATATATTCCGAGTCATCTATATATCCTGTGCCATTTATAGCCCCTGTGTCATTTACAAATCTCCGTGTTACTATTAACTGCTCCCTGCTTGCTGTGAAAAACTGTGATGTCCCTGTGGCATTTTCCAGGGGATAACCCAGCTATGTCACTGCCTCTACAAATTTCCCTGTTCCTGTTTCTCTGTCATTAGCTCTGTCAATGTCTTTGTCATTGTCTCCGTCATTGTAGTTGTCATTGTCTTTGTCATTGTTTATGTCATTGATTCTGTCAATGTCTCTGTCAATGTCTCTGTCATTGTCTTTGTCATTGTTTATGTCATTGATTCTGTCAATGTCTCTGTAAATGTCTCTGTCATTGTCTTTGTCATTGTTTATGTCATTGATTCTGTCAATGTCTCTGTCAATGTCTCTGTCATTGTCTTTATCATTGTTTATGTCATTGATTCCGTCAATGTCTCTGTCAATGTCTCTGTCATTGTCTTTGTCATTGTTTATGTCATTGATTCTGTCAATGTCTCTGTCAATGTCTCTGTCATTGTCTTTGTCATTGTTTATGTCATTGATTCTGTCAATGTCTCTGTCAATGTCTCTGTCAATGTCTCTGTCAATGTCTCTGTCAATGTCTCTGTCATTGTCTTTGTCATTGTTTATGTCAATGTCTCTGTCAATGTCTCTGTCATTGTCTTTGTCATTGTTTATGTCATTGATTCTGTCAATGTCTCTGTCAATGTCTCTGTCATTGTCTTTGTCATTGTTTATGTCATTGATTCTGTCAATGTCTCTGTCAATGTCTCTGTCATTGTCTTTGTTATTGTTTATGTCATTGATTCTGTCAATGTCTCTGTCAATGTCTCTATCATTGTCTCTGTCATTGTCTTTGTCATTGTTTATGTCATTGTTTCTGTCAATGTCTCTGTCAATGTCTCTGTCATTGTCTCTGTCATTGTCTTTATCATTGTTTATGTCATTGATTCTGTCAATGTCTCTGTCAATGTCTCTGTCATTGTCTTTGTCATTGCCTCTGTCATTGTCTTTGTCATTGTCTCTGTTAATGCATTGTCTCTATCATCAGTTTTGTTATTGTCTCACTATATTGTCTTTGTTCTTGTCTTTGTCATTGTCTTTTTTCATTGTCATTGTCTATGTCATTGTCTCTGTTAATGTCTTTGTTATTGTCTCTGTCAATGTCACTGTCAATGTCTTTGTCATTGTTCTGTCAATGTCACTGTCAATGTCTTTGTCATTGTCTCCATCATTGTCCAGAACCAGCCGAGATAGACAGAGACAACAGTGATGCCACAATGAATACACAAACAGCAACAGCTGAAGTATACGCTCAAGAGCAACAGCCGGGGTAGATACATAAACAGCAATAGCGACGGTGATACACATACAGTAACAGCTAATATAGATACACAAACAACAAAAGGTGAGGTAAATAAACAAACAGCAGCAGGTGAGGTAAATACACTAACAGCAACAGCGGAGGGGATACACAAACAGCAACAGGGGAGGTAGATACACAAACAGCAGCAGGTGAGGTATATACACAAACAGCAAAAGCGGAGGTGATACTCAAACAGCAACAGCGGAGTTAATACACGGACAGCAACAAGTAAGGTAGATACTTAAATAGCAACAGCGGAGGTGGTACACAAACAGCAACAGCTGAGGTGATACATAAACAGCAACAGCGGAGTAAGATACACAAACAGCAACAGTGGAGGTAGATAAACAGACAGCAACAGAGGAGGTAGATAAAAAAAACAGTAATAGGGGAGGTAGATACACAAAAAGCAACAGCGGAGATGATACACAAAGAGAAACAGGTGAGGTAGATACACAAACAGCAGCAGGTGAGGTAGATACACAAACAGCAAAAGCGGAGGTGATACACAAACAGCAACAGCAGAGTTGATACACGGACAGCAACAGCGGAGTTAGATACACAAACAGCAACAGTGGAGGTAGATAAACAGACAGCAACAGAGGAGGTAGATTGAAAAAAAAACCCAGTAATATACGAGGTAGATACACAAATAGCAACAGTGGAGGTAGATAAACAAACATGCATTACAGATGGGAGACGTAAACATATAGCTAATGGGAGTCATAGACGTTGGCATGGAGACGGAGATAGGCAAACACGGAGGATGGGAGACAGACATTCAGAATGAAAAGAAACATGGCCATACCTTCTCTGCTTCCAGATCCTCTACTCGCCCGGACATCCGCTCCAGCTGCTTTTTCAGCGTGTCCATCTGAGCTTTAACTTCTCGTAACTCGCCCAATTCTCGCGAGATATCCGCCATCTTGTTAGCGTTTGTCTGTTCTGTACGGGATGTAGTTGCCACTAGCCGGTCCACCTGCTGCTGAAGCTGTGTCCGCTGTGTGTCCTCCTGCAGCTGTTTCACCGTCTTCTCTAGCTCCTTTAACGATTCCACCTGAGCTTTCACTGCCAATACAGTTTTTAATTCATTCTCTATCTGTGAATAACTTTTCAGAAATCTCGCTGTCAGAATCTCTTTCTGCTCGTACATCTTCTGCATTTTGTCTAATTGTGAATGCAAATCTGGCAAAGTGTCCAGCTCCTTTAGTCGGGTCTGTAGAGTTTTTAACTTGCTCCTGCAGATTCTGAAAGCGACCATTGTGAAGAACCAGGTTATTCAAAGCGTCCAACTGTTGTTGAATGTGCTCCAGTTTGTATTCCTGTTTCCTGGTGTCGGTCAGATTCTCCAGCTGTCTCTTCATGTCTGCAAATGTCTCGTTTTGTCTGCTGCTTTCTTCCAGTGTCTGCAGCTTCTCTTGTAGGTCTTGGAATTCTTGAGTGCAGTTAAGACAGACTGAAACACATAAACGCAAGAACATGACGACAAGTTGCAGAAACGTGCCTTAGTAAAAACACTTCGATAATTCTCGCACTGCCACTTAAGGATTCTGTGACAACAGACCGAAGGTTCTCATAATGTCACTGGGGTATTCGAATAATTATGACAGCTAATCGATGGTCTCATGGTGTCACTGGAAAGTCCCAATGTCTGTGACAACTGGTCGATGATTGTCAGAGTGTCACTGGGAAGTACCATTGTCCGTGACAACAACACATGTCCGATATTACATATACACTGTACAATAAACCACTTTTTGTTGGTACCCTTGAAACATTTACACAGTACACTTTCCTCTGTACAATAAACCAATTTGTTTGCACCCTTGAACCATTTACACGGTACAATAAACCACCTTCTTCTGGCACCCTTGAAACACTGTACACTTTCTTCTGGCATCTTGAACCATTTACACTGTACATAAACCACTTTTAGCACGCTTGAACCATTTACACTGTACAATAAACTACTTTTGTGCACGCTTGAAATATTTACACTGTATAATAAACCACTTTCTTCTGGCACCCATGAACCATTTACACTGTACAATAAACCGCTTTCTTCTGGCAGGTTTGAACTATTTACACTGTACAATAAACCACTTTCTTCTGGCAGGCTTGAACTATTTACACTGTACAATAAACCACTTTCTTCTGGCACCCTTGAACTATTTACACTGTACAATAAACCACTTTCTCCTGACACCATTGAACGATTTACACTGTACAATAAACCACTTTCTCCTGACACCATTGAACCATTTACACTGTACATTTACACTGTATATTTACACTGTACATTTACACTGTACATTTACACTGTACATTTACACTGTACATTTACACTGTACATTTACACTGTACATTTACACTGTACACAGACTGGGTCAGCTTTCAGAAACCAGTCAAGTGTGCAAAAGTGTACAAACCGCTGACAGGTGACCGAGTGTACTCAATGACCATGGGTACATGCGTACATTTTGATATAATTGTCCCTGTGTACAAGCAGCCACTTCTTTCTAAATACCCATGTGCATTACCACATATATTAGTATAATTGCCGGTACATACCATAGTGCTTATTGCTCTAATGGTCCGCCTTTACAAGTTCAGGTACTAATCACGAACCTGTCCACACGGGAGGGGTTCCTTCCCCTACTATTCATGCTGCAGCGGCTCGCACGGCCTGTCCTATGTTGTGGGCGTGTCATGTCTTCCTCATTCTCAACGTGTTGTCACTGCTCACTTCTGTTTTTATTTCCAAGTTGTGCTACTTTCCCGAAGGTTGGTGAGTTTCGAAACTGTTTTTATATTTATTCGTTCCTTGTCAGTTGCTTCTTTTTCTAGGGGGAATGTAATAGGCTGGAAGACTACTGTTGAGCAGCTCAACGATTATATTTAATCTTGTTTAAAATGATCAAAAGACTACAGGAACAGCTTTTAGTTCTAGATATTAAAATTGGGGAAAATCTGGCCACTGGGTATAAATAGGCAAAACTCATTCAGTATTCTCCTACTTGGCTGTCGCTCTGTGGTCAGACACCCTGTTTGCCGTTGTTGACCGCACTTGGTCTCAACGCACAGGTGTGCCAGATCGGACCGGGCTGAGCGAGGCTAGACTGGCTCGTGTTGGCGATAATGGTACGTTTCTTTTCGTAGATTTGATTTCCATTTTGTATTCACACTAGGAGGTAGTCTGATGGCAGGTCGCAGGTGATGTGTTGGCATATTGAAGCTTAACGTACATGTTTAATATGTTTCTGTTTTTGCCATTATTGAGGTAGTCTCGCTGAGCGTATGGTGTCATTATCATAGGTACTTGAAGCTGGAGATAGTCAGTACTTTAGATTCTGGTCGAGCACGTTAGTCTCAAAGAGACTCACAAAAACACACTTGAACTTGAACTTTATAGAAAACAAACATGATAAAACTCCTTGACTCTTTCAGTCTGCTCCTGGTTGAGCGGTGACTATATCGAGTCCGTGTTTGATTGCTGACTCTCGGTCGTTTTGTTTCTTTGAGGTGTTTGGTTGCGCCTTGAGTTCCGATTTTCATGCTTGGGCCTTTCTTTTCGGTTGGTGCGAAGTTAGGCTGTATTGGGAGGGGAAAAACACAACCTCCAACAAATATTATATACGGCCAGCGAACACCGAACTAAGCCATTTCATAAGACCCCCACTGAGCGAAGCCATCTCATAACAGCTCCACAGAATAGAACAGCCCGTGCGACCCCCAGCGGCATGACTGTGATGGGAAGGAAGTCTCACCGTGCGGGCAAGTTCATGAGAAGTTCCCTAGTTCGGACACAGCTCTAGTTGACCTTCTCTACAGGTCCACACACAGCTCTATCTGTCATTCATTACAGCCACACATACTGCACTGACTGTCCGTGTACACATCTCATACTGTCCCTGTACAAAGTCACGTGGTACTCACGGTCACATGTGTACTTGTCATCTGCCAGCCGGAAACCGGCCTGGCATGTGCACTGGTAGCTTCCGTGCACGTTGGTGCACCTCTGCTGGCAGCTGTTCCTACCCGTGCACTCGTCGATATCTGGGGAGGGAGATAAATTAATGGATACATTTGTAGATATTCTAAATTTTCTTTATCCTCTTCATGTCGCTGTTGACACATAAGGCATTCACAAGTGATCTCCACTGCTGCCGGTCTGCTGCTTTTCTGCCTATGGCATCCCATGTCAGTTTACATTCCATTTTTTCTCGTTCTATTGTCCTTCTCTAGGTTTCTGTAGGTCGTCCACGTCTCCCTTTCCCATCTGTTGTCCACCGGAGAGCTATTTTTGCCAGAGTGTCACAAGGCATTCTGCAAACATGTCCAAGCCATCTCCATCGTCTTACTTTGACAACATTTGCCAGTGATGCACATTCTATTTTCCTCCTCGGAACTACATGATCATCACTTTGTAGATATGTAGTTAAGTGAATAAATTTTTTTTTGGACACATCTTGTAGTTTATGTGTAGTTCCCGATGTCATTACTGGACATTCACTTTGAGATATGTGTAGTGTAGTGGATAAAATTACTGATCACACTTGTAGATATGTGTAGGGAATAAATTACTGAACACACTTGTAGATATGTGTAGTGGATAAATTACTGGACACACTTGTAGATATGTGTAGTGGATAAATTACTGGACACACTTGTAGATATGTGTAGTAGATAAATTACTTGACACATTTGTAGATATGTGTAGTAGATAAATTACTGGAACACTTGTAAATATGTGTAGTGGATAAATTACTGGACACACTTGTAGATATGTGTAGTGAATAAATTACTGGACACACTTGTGGATAAGTGAAGTGTATAAATTACTGGACACCCTTGTAGATAAGTGAAAGGGATAAATTACTGGAGACACTTGTAGATAAGTGAAGCAGATGAATTACTGGACACACTTGTTGATAAGTGAAGTGGATAAATTACTGGTCACACTTGTAGATAAGTGAAGCAGATGAATTACTGGACACACTTGTGGATAAGTGAAGTGTATAAATTACTGGACACCTTTGTAGATAAGTGAAGATGATGAATTACTGGACACACTTGTTGATAAGTGAAGTAGATAAATTACTGGACACACTTGTAGATAAGTGAAGTGGATAAATTACTGGACACACTTGTAGATATGTGTAGTACATAAATTACTGGACACACTTGTAGAAAAGTGAAGTGAATAAATTACTGGACACACTTGTAGAAAAGTGAAGTGAATAAATTACTGGACGCACTTGTAGATAAGTGTAGTACATAAATTACTAGACACACTTGTAGATATGTGTAGTGCATAAATTACTGGACACACTTGTAGATAAGTGTAGTACATAAATTACGGGACACACTTGTAGAAAAGTGAAGTGAATAAATTACTGGACGCACTTGTAGATAAGTGTAGTACATAAATTACTAGACACACTTGTAGATAAGTGTAGTACATAAATTACTGGACAGACTTGTAGATAAGTGAAGTATATAAATTACTGGACACACTTGTAGATAAGTGAAGTGGATAAATTACTGGTCACACTTGTAGATATGTGTAGTGGATAAATTACTGGACACACTTGTAGATATGTGTAGTGGATAAATTACTGGACACACTTGTAGATATGTGTAGTGGATAAATTACTGGACACACTTGTAGATAAGTGAAGTGGATAAATTACCGGTCACACTTGTAGATATGTGTAGTGGATAAATTACTGGTCACACTTGTAGATATGTGTAGTGGATAAATTACTGGACACACTTGTAGATATGTGTAGTGGATAAATTACTGGACACACTTGTAGATATGTGTAGTGGATAAATTACTGGACACACTTGTAGATATGTGTAGTGGATAAATTACTGGACACACTTGTAGATAAGTGAAGTGGATAAATTACTGGTCACACTTGTAGATATGTGTAGTGGATAAATTACTGGTCACACTTGTAGATATGTGTAGTGGATAAATTACTGGTCACACTTGTAGATATGTGTAGTGGATAAATTACTGGTCACACTTGTAGATATGTGTAGTGGATAAATTACTGGTCACACTTGTAGATGAGTGAAGTGGATAAATTACTGGACAAACTTGTAGATATGTGTAGTGGATAAATTACTGGTCACACTTGTAGATATGTGTAGTGGATAAATTACTGGTCACACTTGTAGATATGTGTAGTGGATAAATTACTGGACACACTTGTAGATAAGTGAAGTGGATAAATTACTGGTCACACTTGTAGATATGTGTAGTGGATAAATTACTGGTCACACTTGTAGATATGTGTAGTGGATAAATTACTGGACACACTTGTAGATATGTGTAGTGGATAAATTACTGGTCACACTTGTAGATATTTGTAGTGGATAAATTACTGGTCACACTTGTAGATAAGTGAAGTGGATAAATTACTGGACACACTTGTAGATATGTGTAGTGGATAAATTACTGGTCACACTTGTAGATATGTGTAGTGGATAAATTACTGGTCACACTTGTAGATATGTGTAGTGGATAAATTACTGGACACACTTGTAGATAAGTGTAGTGGATAAATTACTGGACACACTTGTAGATATGTGTAGTGGATAAATTACTGGTCACACTTGTAGATATGTGTAGTGGATAAATTACTGGACACACTTGTAGATATGTGTAGTGAATAAATTACTGGACACACTTGTAGATATGTGTAGTGGATAAATTACTGGTCACACTTGTAGATATGTGTAGTGGATAAATTACTGGTCACACTTGTAGATATGTGTAGTGGATAAATTACTGGACACACTTGTAGATAAGTAAAGTGGATAAATTACTGGTCACACTTGTAGATATGTGTAGTGGATAAATTACTGGACACACTTGTAGATATGTGTAGTGGATAAATTACTGGACACACTTGTAGATATGTGTAGTGGAAAAATTACTGGACACACTTGTAGATATGTGTAGTGGATAAATTACTGGACACACTTGTAGATATGTGTAGTGGATAAATTACTGGACACACTTGTAGATAAGTGAAGTGGATAAATTACTGGTCACACTTGTAGATATGTGTAGTGGATAAATTACTTGTCACACTTGTAGATATGTGTAGTGGATAAATTACTGGACACACTTGTAGATATGTGTAGTGGATAAATTACTGGTCACACTTGTAGATATGTGTAGTGGATAAATTACTGGTCACACTTGTAGATATGTAAAGGGGATAGACTACGGGACATTTGCAGGCGCACATGATACCAGTTGGACATTTTCAGTCATATAAGGTACAAGTTGGACATTTCAGTCACACAAGATACCTGCTGAACATTTGCAGTCACGCTAGATCGATATAAGACGGACAATTGCAGTCACGCAAGATACAAGATGGACATTTGCAGTCACGCAAGAAACAAGCTGGACATCTGCAGTCACGCAAGATACAAGACGGACATTTGCAGTCACTCAAGATACAAGCTGGACATTTGCAGTCACGCAAGATACAAGACGGACAATTGCAGTTACTCAAGATACAAGCTGGACCTTTGCAGTCACACAAGATACAAGCTAGACCTTTGCAGTCACACATAATACAAGCTGGACCTTTGCAGTCACACGAGAGACACGGCTGGCATTGATAGTCACACCAGACACCCATGTGACATGTTGCAGTCACACAAGAAACACGGCTGGCATTGATAGTCACACCAGTTACCCATGTGACATGTTGCAGACACACAAGAGACACGGCTGGCATTGATAGTCACATCAGATACCCGTGTGACATGGTGTAGTCACACCAGATACCCATGTGACATGTTGTAGTCACACAAGATGCACGCTCGGCTTTACATGGAGTTAGCTAAATAAGTAAAAGGCTATTTGTCCCACGGCTTTAGACGTTTTGTGCACAAGGGTTTGACCTATATTTTATAGACCAATCGGTACTTGGTGTGTGACATTTTCAGCACCACGCCAGCCGCCTTTACTTCCTAGCACTGCACCTAGTACCCACTTAAGTCTGGTCGACCATATAGAATTGATAGTGAACAAACCGGTATATGACACAGAACGATGACACATGTAGACAAACAAAAACCTACCCACGTGACTTACCCACGTGACTTACTAGCGTGACACGGCTGGACTTACCCAGATGACATCTGTACCCGGTGAAACCGTCCGTGCACAAACACAGGTCCGGCCGCACACACTGGCCACCATGTTCACACGGCTCGCTGCAGACAGCTGTCAGGGAGGGGAACATTTCACAAAATGATGTGCACATATCCAAACAGGGATGATGGTGGGCATTATTCATGGTAGTAGCCATAAAGATGATGACGATGTTGATAAAGATGATGTTGATGATAATAATGATGACGATAGTGATGATGACTAAGTAAAGAGTTGCACGTTTTTTTTTTTTTTTCTCCTGGGGGATGTGAACCAGGGTCATTGCACACGGTTAATAAAAAATTAGTTGCGTATCCTTTACAGGACGTTGCAGAACCAACCCCAGCACTTTCCGGCTGCTGTGGTTTTTCCAGGCAAATTTACGTCCAGTAGTTTGCCATTGCTTCTGGACGGTCGGCTCTCGATACCACAGTCGAAACCATCGCAAGACAAACCTTTTGCAGCTGGGATCAAACCCGGCACCCTGGCATTACGAAACGCGTTCGCAACGCCTAAGCCACAGACGCCGACTGCACTCGGTTACAAACCATAAGTGCTCTGCCACCAGTGCGGACAGCTGATAAGAAACTGTCCGTCTGTGTCGCCGTTCGCAAGTAACTCTGTAGCCACAGCGACGTTCCTCCATTTATCCCAGAGTGTCCACTCTGGTACCTCTTACCCAGAGGCTGGGTGAACCACGGGAACCGCCCGGTTTCGAACACTGACCGTTGGTTGCAGCGAGTCGCAGCTGGATTTAAAAGCGACTGTCCTATCGACTGCGCTCCAGAAGATGATGATGATGACAATGATAATAAGGATGATGATGATGATGAGATGAAGAAGATGATGATGATGATGATGATGATGATGATGATGATGATGATAACCAAGTGAAGAGCTGCAACGTTGATTGTCATTAAGAAATAGGTGATGGTACAATGCGTTACTAAATAATGTAGACCAGTGGTTCTCAACCTGCCGGTCGTGGCCCTTTTTTGGGGTCGAAGGACCCTTTCACAGGTGTCGCCTAAGAGCATCAAAAACCCATATTTATTGAAGTTCGGAGGCAAAGTACAGATAAAGTTAAAGTCAAGACAATCGACTTCATTGCACACATGGCTCGGTCTCTCTCCGCAAAATGGCTAGCCGCCAGCTAGAAGCCTTGCACAAAGCACAAACCTCGGGAATCTCCGGACAAAATAGCACTGGTGAACTAACGGCGGTGCCGTGAAATGAACATACGATATTCAAAGCGCGAGACAAACCGCTTGACCACTTCGTCACGGAGGCAGTTGTGTCTCAGACGTGCAGACTGATTTTTGTGTTCGCTTCTAATTGTCCAGGACTCGAAGCAGTCAAGCGATGATAGTTCTGGTTCTGAGTAACCTCCAAGCGTGTCTGCTAGTGTAACCACACATTCTCCACCAGCACCGACCGAAAGACGAGGCGTTACAGAGCCGCCTCTGCTTAAGACACATTCTGTCGTCGCCCAACACGGAGTGTGTTGATTGCAATCAGATATTTCAAGTGGGGCACATAGGAAGTGGGACATGTGTTAAGTGTGTCCTGTTTCAAGAGGCACAAATAAACTGAGGGGGGAACCGTATAAATATTATATTATTAAACGAACCGACAATTTATTGATCGGCACTCATAGAAAGAAGTAGAAAGATAAAAGGAAACACACTAGACAACATAAAAATCGAAAGCTATAGTTATCGTGCGGGGAATCGAACCTGAAACCTCCAGTTGGTGTGTGCGCCTCGCTATAGAAACAAGTGTACTAAGAACATGGTCAGAAAGGCACCACTAAAAAAGGTGTCTTCATTAGCCATGCATATCGTACAGCTTGAAATCCACAGCTATGGAATACAGAAAGAATTCATTTCAAGCCACTGAAATGGCACCACAGGTTATAGAAATTTATATTAACGAAGCCGATCAATACACTGTAAAACTGATGCGGACGCGACACTCATGTTCTGGAGCAGGACTGCAGTTCAGAAGTGGACAAACAACCAGAACTTTCCACCAGAGTGTCGGGTGAACGCGATACATAAACAAGGACATAGTGGATTTCGGGCATCTAAACTAGTCTCTCACAGTTGGATTGTTCTGACCACACATGCAAAAACTGATATCTTTGTCATCACAATACAATCTATTAGTACTGGTGATTAAACCAGACGTTTATCTTGAGAAAGTCAACTCATGCATAGGTAAGGTGACCTCTACCCAGCATTACTCAGTTGTCCAAATCCCTTCATCTAATCGTTGACATATCCGTTTAGTATTTTTTTTTTTTTTTTTTGTTGGGTGGTTGGGGAGGTGATACCTATTACTACTACCACCGTCACCACCACCACAACCACTACTACTACTGATGCTGCTGCTGCTACTGTTGTTATATTATATTATATACATTATTATTATTTTAATATAATAATAATTATTATTTATTATTATTATTATTATTATTATTATTATTAATTATTATATTATTATTATTAATTAATTAAATATTATTATTATTATTATTATTATTATTATTATTATTATTATTATTATTATTATTATTATTATTATTATTATTATTCATGTGTTTAAGTTTCGTGTCCGAACATCTCTGTGTATTTCAACCTATCATATTTTCGTCATAGTTTTTTACGTAACTGCTGGTGTAGAATCTGATTTCCAGGATTCCCTTTCTTGCGTGTTACTCGTGGCTAAAGACTCCAGTCGAAACGTTCAATCGGTTCTTTTTCCATCCCCCCCCCCCCCCCCCCCCCCCCCCACACACACATCTTTTCTGTCCCCCACCTATACTGGACTTTCTATTTACATATTGTGTTTAGTGAATTCACGTTTGGTGAGGTAACGGTATTTACATTTGGTAGTTACGTTTGGATATTGCCAAGTGTTTAGTAATTACGTTGGATATAGCCACATTTTGTAGTTACGTTTGGGTATAGCACGTTTTGGTTAATTACGTTTAGATATAGCCAACGTGTAAACAGACACAACGCAATTACAACTTTGGATGAACGCAGAAGAAGTCATGTCTGGTAAGTCAGGTTTTGTATTGTCTCGTCTGGTGTAATCATAATACTGGTACAATCATATTTCTGGTACAATCATATCTCTGGTACAATCATATCTCTGGTACAATCATATCTCTGGTACAATCATATCTCTGGTACAATCATATCTCTGGTACAATCATATCTCTGGTACAATCATATTTCTTGCACAAACATATTTCTTGTACAATCATGTCTCTGGTACAATCACATTTCTTCTACAATCATGTCTCTCTTAGATTTCTATCTCTAGTACAATCATGTCTCTGGTACAATCCTGTCTCTGGTACAAACATATCTATGGTATAATCATATCTCTAGTAGAATCATATCTGTAACAATCATCTATCTGGTACAGTGACATCTCTGGTACAATCATATTTCTGGTACAGTAACAGTAAGTGAAACTACATATTATCCTCCCCAAATGTCCAAGTTCCAGAGGAGGCTACTTACGTTTGGCACAACTCAGGTCCCTTGGCGAGCGCTTCTGCCAGCCGGGGCAACATCCTGGGGCAACTTCGGCGTGGATCTGCATTCTAAAAACCGTCCTAAGGGCTGTCTGATAGGTGACGCTGGCAGAATAAACATAGACACATACTTACATACTTTCGCACATACGTACACGTACGTACGTACATACATACATACATACATACATACATACATACATACATACATACATACATACATACATACATACATACATACATACATACAGACACACACACACACACACATACATACATACATACACACATACAGACACACACACACACACACATACATACATACATACATACATACATACATACATACGTACATACATACATACATACATACATACATACATACATACATACATACATCCATCCATCCATCCATCCATCCATCCATCCATCCATCCATCCATCCATCCATCCATCCATCCATCCATCCATCCATCCATCCATCCATCCATCCATCCATCCATCCATCCATCCATCCATCCATCCATCCATCCATCCATCCATCCATACATGCATGCATGCATGCATGCATGCATACATACATACATACATACATACATACATACATACATACATACATACATACATACATACATACATACATACATACATACATACATACATACATACATACATACATACATACATACATACATACATACATACATACATACATACATTCATACATACATACATAACATACATACATACATACATACATATACATACATACATACATACATACATACATACATACATAACATACATACATACATACATACATACATACATACATACATACATACACATACACACACACACACACACACATACATACATACATACAGACATACATACATAACATACATACATACATACATACATACATACATACATACATACATACATACATACATACATACATACATACATACATACATACATACATACATACATACATACCATAACATACATACATACATACACTACATACATACATACATACATACATACATACATACATACATACATACATACAATACATACATACATACATACATACATACATACATACATACATACATACATACATACATACATACATACATACATACAACATACATACATACATACATACATACATACATACATACATACATACATACATACATACATACATACATACATGCCTGCATGCATGCATG